TATCGAAATAAATACGAAAATATTAAAATTGGATGAATTTAGTTGTTTTACAAGTTGTTAATGGTAACACTCGGGAATTTCAATATACTACACAAAAAACTATTGGAACAATAATTATAGAAAATTTAATTCTCAACAATATTGCTCCCTTGCACTTTTGCTCTTAGATGCATCAATATTGAGAAAGATACGAAAACATGAAAATTCGATGACTGTTGAATTTTCAAGTACTTAATGGTAACAGGGGAAACGGAGCATATTGCAAAAAAACTTTTAGAACAAAAGTTGTCGCAAATTTTATTATTAACAATATTGCTCTGTTATACTTTTGCTCTTCGATGTATCAATATCAAGAAAATAATGAAAATTTGATCAATTTATTGAATTTTCAAGTTCTTAATGGTAAGATTTAGGAAACGAAGCATATTACAAAAAAACTTATAGGAGAAAAGTTGTAGCAAATTTTGATCTTAACAATATTGCTCTATTGCACTTTTGCTGTCAGATGCGTCAATATCGAGAAAATTACAAAAATATTAAAATTGGATGAATTTGTTGATTTTTCAAGTTAATAATGATAAGACGCAGGAAACGGATCATATTGCAAAAAAGCTTTTGGAACAATAATTATAGAAAATTTTATTCTCAACAATATTGCTCCCTTGCACTTTTGCTCTTAGATGCATCAATATTGAGAAAGATACGAAAATATGAAAATTCGATGACTGTTGAATTTTCAAGTACTTAATGGTAACTCTCGAGAAACGGAGCTTATTGCAAAAATACTTTTGGAACAAAAGTTGTCGCAAATTTTATTGTTAACAATATTGCTCTGTTATACTTTTGCTCTTAGATGTATCAATATCAAGAAAATTATGAAAATTTGATCAATTTATTGAATTTTCAAGTTCTTAATGGTAAGATTTAGGAAACGAAGCATACTACAAAAAAAATTTAGAACAATAATTATAGTAAATTTTATTCTCAACAATATTGCTGTCTTGTACTTTTGCTCCGATTCCTTAGAAAAGAAATTCATAAATGGACAAGAATATCGCCTGACAACAATAATCATAATCAAATAGACCATGTTCTGATAGAAAAATGAGCCGATTGTGACTCTGACCAGTATCTGGTTGGCACATATTTTAGAAGTCAGGATTAACCGCTGAAAGCCGAGGAAACAAGATTACAATATCAGCAAACACAAAAAGAAGAGAGACACTTAATACTGTTGAGTGAACAGTAGGGCACAAACCAGACGAAAGTGGAAATGAATGGTCAACGAAACAAAGATAGAAAAGGATGCATAAAAGGATACTAAGACAGAAGAAAAGGAGATGTATGAACTATATTTGCGAGGCGTACAGAAACGTTAATTTCTGTAAAATAGGAAATAAACCAAGAAACAAGTTTTGCAAATCCGAAGATAGAAACCTGATAACAGAGAAACAGGGAATCCTGAATCGATGGAACCAATACTTCTAATACTCCTTAGCACGAATACACCTCAGACCCAATATGAGTTAAACCTAGAAGCACACGAAGATGAAACCTTACATTTTTGGAGGGACATTCGACTAGCTATTCGACCGCTTACTATTTGCCTGGGGTTTTCTCAATTTTGAATTAATTAATTAATATAATAAAAACTAATTAATCAATATTTGATTGTAGGACATCATTGTATTCATCCAACCCAACCCAACTCAACTCAACCCTCTTTTTTAACGAGGACGGGGAAAATACCTTGTTATTAATACTATGTGTGGAAGAAATTTCTTTCCTCCATCTCCTTATTTTCCAGCACATACCTTACATAATTTCCTACCATATATTTTTTTTTGTTCTGACTTTCTAACATTACAGATATTATGTTTTCTGGTGTAAGCGGTTTGCCAATCTTTGTATAGGTCTCCTCCCTCTTCTTCGATCATCTTTCACATTCAAAGAATGTGTACTCGACATCGTATCGCTTTCTGCTCTTTTGTGTGTTCAGAGGTGACTCCTGAAATATCCGTGCCCATTCAGAAGCTGTGTCCACTAAGAATTTAGTTCTCCCCATTTTGGTAACATCCATGGCAAATGTCTGGCAGAATGCGCTTCGTCTATCTCTCCTTATCGGTATCTCCGCTCCATCTATTCCTCTACTCCTGCAGAAGTATTTGTAGATTTCGTGTATCGATTTCCTCTTCCGTGTCAAAGCTTCTCTTTCTGACTAGCAGGTCGATTAGTAGGGACTGCCCTATAACCAGAAGGTATTTTAGTTTTAGATATTTTAGTACTTTGTCTGCAAGACATCTCGCCAACTCTTACAGGTATATAGCCAGGGACCAAATTACCAGCCCTATTATCTTCCTTTTTTCTGTTCCAGGTCCATATGTCGACCCCATTATTCTCTGTGAGCTCCCCACTTTAGGTCCTTTCCAATCATCACTTCGAGGTACTTAAGTGAGCTCACAGATTTCACCACATATCTCCCACATTGATTTCAATCTCTCCTCTGGTTTTCCTGTTCTTCAACATTACAGACTCTGTTTTCTCCGGTACCAGCTGTAAGCCAATAGACTCTAATTTGTCCGCTATTTCTCTGAAACCCAATTCAACACAGCCCTTTTTTTTGGCGTTGGGGAGGGAAAAATGCATTATGAGGCTGCGTCTTAAAGTTATTGTAATAAACAGATGATGTTTTTTCGGCCGGGAGTGTAAGATTAATGATAGCCTCCAATTAAATTAATCTAGCCACTAACTTTCTTTCTGCCTTTCTGCTGCACGGAATTACCCTCACGGGTTTTCTTCATCGTACTGGCGGCTCCTGTTTTTGTATGTAATTTTATTTTTCTCTCTCTTTTGACAACATCTCTAATGTTTTTATCCAACGCCACCCAGTTCCTATCACTCTCCGTCATCGTTTGAACGCAGTTATCGGGAGTCAACTTTCTTTTTACCTTACTCTCCATCTTAATCCGAAAGTCGTTCCACCTGTCAGAATGGAAGAACGTGTATTCAGCGTCGCTCTCTTTACCATAATATCAACATCTGTCGTAGGAGACTCTTTTGTACTTGTACAGGTAGCTTCTGAATCATCCGTGTTCCCCATAAACTGGTTGATAGGATAGTTCGCCTCAAAACAGCCATCAATTTTTTCGTCCATCCCATTCTTTCTCTGCAAATCTCTTTTGCCACTCTCTTTCAATCAGGTCTTGGGTCTTGCCATCGTGCCCACTCCCTTCTTGACATGTAAGTTCATCGATGGCATATTCTCAAGTAACTGCAATGATTTATTCGACGTGATCCTGGACGTGCTAATTACTCTTATCAGGACTCGCCTCTGTACTCTCGTTAGTTGCTTGATATTTCGATTGACATTTATGGCACCCCTCCAGACTCTGCACTCATAACCATTTTGCGCCTTTTTAAACATAACCCAATCTAACCTAAACCATTTTCTGGAAAAACTAAAAGAGATAAACAATTTTTTATGCGAAAATATTTGGGCTAATAAAAAATGAAAATCGACGTATTTTGCCTCATGACGACATCAGTATCTCAATCTCATCAGTAATCTCAAGTGCATGGTCACACTGCGTTACCTTGACATTAAGACCTAGTTGTATAAGCAAAGTTATCTAGTTAACTAATGGTCAAAAAATAGTTTATAATTTGTGTTCCTGGGTATCGTGTCTGCCAACTTGAGAACTATGACACTACTTGCCCACCAATCGTATCTTGGTGGGCTAGACGATCAATATGTCCAGTATAAAAATTAAAATCGTAACTAATACTTAAACTAATACTAAGCCAGATATAATACTTAAAACGAATAAATTTGTATCTCCATTTATGTGTTTTTTTCGGATTGTATTGCTCTTTGCTTATTAAGGACGAATTTTAAAAAGTTTCTAGTTCCAAGGTTGGCTTTTTCTTTTATTTGGTCTTCTATGTGGAGCAGATGCTGGAGCTGGTACACCATCTTTGTTATTCTTTTGAAATTTTGTGCATTCCAATGTGGAGAACTATTAACGTCTAACGTCCCTGTCATTTTCGCTAATACAATCGGATACTTCTATGATTGTCTAAGCGAACTGCACTTTTTGTCATACATCATCGTCTTCACTTTAACATTAGTCTGGTATTATATCTATCTGAAATATTACTCACGTTACAAAAGTATTTGTACCTATTACTACGAAGTGTTCCAGATATGACACAAGTCTTACAACTGCAGTGATATTAAGAACAATAACCTACCTTGTGGTCGAAATTTTTCCAAAGGTGCAACAGTACGTTATTTCTACATTTATAAATACTTAAAATAAGGAACTTGATCGGTGAACACATGCAGACAAAACTGCACATATCTATGCGTTCCAGGTGAGCTGGATCTGTAAAAGCGAGTGTCCCAAATAACAGATAAGCAGTAATGGCAAAAGTTTTCATCAAGCTTGTACATTTTTTTTTGACAATGAATTTAGCACTGAAGTCTTTTGCGGTACCAAGTTGTCCATAAACACTGAGCTTTGATAAATTTCTAAATCTTACTCTTTGTAGAAAAGCGAGAAAGAAAACCAAATCTGACATTCACTGAGAAGTTAAATTTTTCATGAAATTTAATTAAATACATTTTCTTTAAATCACTTCTTTGATTATCCATAACTTATCCATAAACATTTTTAAAATTACTGTTTTTATAAACAATTTTTGTTTAAAAGAATTTTCCTACAATAATTTCTTATAATCCGTCAAAAATTTCCATAATACATAAATTAAGTGGGTAAAATTTTCCTCGAATCTCAAGGAATTTTCCTTTGAAACAGAAACCGTTTAGGATGACCTTGCGTAAACCTCGAAATCTTGGTCTTTCGTGAAGGGGAAAAAAGAGATCAAAACTAGCTTCCCTGTGAGAGAGCTTTTGGTCAAAGCTACCGAGTGCAAGCGCGCCCCCTACAACATCGAGTATGGTCGAAACGTGCTACTGCCTCAGTACTGATTCAGTCCTTCTTTAACCACACGTCTGTTCGAACGCGTGTTAGTACTGAAATCCTGCTGAAAGATCGATTTTATTTTTCTTGTCGACCTATAATCCGCGCGTCCCAAAAACTCGAATATCCGAAACGATATTATGGGTTAAATCCATTCCTGATATTTCCAAGAATTTAAAAAAAACTAAATCAATTTTTTTCTGATTAAAATCAACAAGTTGTTAAAGACTTTTTGAGAAAGAAAAACATTTCGTTCGGGTTACCTAAAAATAGTGAAACCTTGGAACGACGAGGGGATAATTTCCTGAATCAAGAAAAAAATAGTGCTGAAAAAATTTGAAATGGCTAATAAGTCGTCGGAAATTACAAGAAATGGGCACGAAATGGCCCCTTTGAACTCGAGACAGAACTCTCAAGGTGGAAAACCAGGTGTTACTATTGTTCTGCAAGGTCCACGGGGGTCCATCATCTCGAGGGGTAGCGGCAACATCGATGGAGATCCAGATCGCGCCGCTTGGTCTGGAAAGATGCAGTTCTTTTTGTCCATTATTGGATATTCGGTTGGGTTGGGAAATATTTGGAGGTTTCCCTATTTATGTCAACAGAATGGAGGAGGTGATTTAATTTGATTAATACAATTTTTTTCTTAATTCTTAAAAAACTATTTGCTCAATCTAAAAAAAAAATAGTTTTTTATCTAATAATTTAGATTATTCCAGCTTAATCGCCGAATTGATTATTCACCTCTCACGATTTGATAAAAAAACAATCGTTCTATTTTATCAATGAAACTTTGTGGCATACTTAAAATAACTTTAGCTACCGTGGAATCAAATTTCTCTTGAAGGTTAACATGTTATATTGTTGCATTTAAAACCAACGCCGGAAAAGAGCAGTTGTTGACCACCTATTATTATGTTACAACTTTGTTCAATGAAAATTTACGTTACAATAAACAATCAATTAATTAACAATACCAAAATAATTAGAATTTTATTTTTTTGCGTATCAAAAAAGCTTGTTTTTAGACTTTTAGAGAAGGAATTTTCGTCATCCATGAAACTCATATACATCATTAAGTATTAACCTTGTAGATGAGAAGAGAATTAAAAAATACAAACTGGACTTAATAAGATCTGTTAATGGTTTAATTTTAAATTTGACTCTTAATTTTCTCCACGTGTAAAAACGATGTTTATGTAGCCATGTTATTATTACAGAAGACGATTTCTTAAATGATTTAAGTGCATTTCATTTCTTATTAACATGCGCGAGCACGCTTTCGTCTACGTAGTTACGATAATCGCGGTAATTTCTTGAATTGTAACGTTAAGTGTTAATAAAATCTAGTAGCAGCACTCAACTCCAAAATTGCATTTTGCCTTAAATTATTTTATTCAACCTAATTTGTATGGTTAAATTGCGAACGAATCAAAAGAGGATCAATTAAAAAATTGTTTCTGTTAAAATAATAAAATCAATAGAAATGAACATTTTAATTGGGAATTTAATTTAAATCAAACCCAAACCGTCAAAGTTTAATTTAAAACGATTAAATACAAAAGATTTAATCAAAACTACATCGAATAATTTGAAATGAGCAGGTTTAACCGAAACCGATTAAAGGTGACATGAAAACTAAAATAGAAAATCCAATTTCAAACATTTTCACTCGTCTCATTTTTAAATTATTGCCCACAATTTATTTCTCTTCAATAAAGAAATCAAATGTTTCTACAACATATATATTTGCCTTTACGTCCATTAAGTTATTGCTTTTGTACACGCAATGCTTCTTGTTACCCCTTTTCAGTTGCTTATTTTCACATATTTGAGAAATTTTGAAAATATTGCGCTGATCAACTTAATTGTATAACTTTATGTTTAAACCTTTCTACTCTACTACTAATTGCAACTTACCGTACGTCGCAAATAAACTATACAATAAATAAAACAGTATGTTTCAAAACTTTCATCTTTAAATTTCAATTCAAACAAATGATGATTTATGTTCATGTTTTTGTTCGGCTGAACTCCATATCCTCCTACTTGTTGATGTTGTTTTCTTTGGTCCTTCTTTTATAATAGTAGCTATTCCCGGCAACTAATTTATCTTGTCGAAATCTATTTTATGAGAACATTTTGTATGATAACTGCTTTCTGATCGATTTTTCCCTTTCGAGTTCCTTTGTACGATATTTGAAGTGCCGTATCCAAGTTGCGTATTTTAGTTCTATATCCAGGAAAGGTTGGAATAAAGTGGATAGCATAACCATGGAAAAGCAGATTGAGAATTCCTGAAAAGTTGAAAAATTCCAGAAAAATTTGATTCATTGGAACACTAAATACAGATAAAAAAAGAATGAAACAGCCAAACCATCAAGTCAATCTTTACAGTTTTCGAAAGAAAAGCTTTACGCAGAGGCCTTGCTTATGGACAGAAAGGAATATAGAGAAACGATTAATAATCCATCCAGACATCTATAAGAGAATCATCAAAAAGTTTCCCATGGATAAATAATTAACAAGATGGTCAGCTAATTAAATCGACGGATATTTGAGTGATTACCACTACAATCTAGGGTTTTGTTAGTATCTCGTGTATAATTCTAGTATTTAGATGATTCTTCCAGTATCTTTTGAACGTTTTCAGTTTCCATAATGATTAGAACCTCAATTAAGTAATTAAGAGTTTATTGTATACAACAATCTGTCTACAATTCTTTACATTATTAAAATATTATTTTCACCCTCTACCTTCTTCCTCCACTTCCACACCCTCGGCTCCTCGGTCCAATCATCCCCTCATCCATCCCTTTGTCTCCTCACCCCCACAACCATTCTCATTCATCGTTTCCCCTCTCCCCTCTCTCCTCTTCCCTCAACTCACTGCACCCATTCAATATATGTTCCAACGTTTCCCATTCCTCCCTGCACAGCCTACACCACCTCTCCTCATCGGCCATCCAGTATCTGTTAGCTCTTTCCTCATTTCCACAACGGAACCTAGCCACCAACTTCTTCCCTTCCTCATCTCCTTCCAATAACAACTATCTAGGCAGCCCCTCCGTAATTATGTCCCTGTACCTTTCGTCATACCTTTCCTCTTTTATTTGTGTCCTTCTTTCCTGTCTCTGCACATCTCGGTGCCTATCCCTCAACTCCCTCCACATCTCCCTACCCACCCTTCGTCTACTATTTATCGCAGTTATCGAGTAGCCCACTCGTCTATAATAGTTGTCTCTGTCTCCTTTCCCATATCTGACCTTTCCCTTTCTAATTTTCCTCCAACACTCTCCCAAGATCCCGCAGTTTGGCCTACCTTCTATTCTTTCTCCATATTTCACTGCCCGCCTCCACTCTGACCTTATCCACCTTTACCTCTTCCCTCACTATATACCCCGGTGTTTCTCTCGCCACCCCAAGCACCCATCTCCAATATCTAGCTTGCACGTCCTCCAGCATTCCCTGCTCCCTCCATCCCCATACCTCTGCCCCATACATCATCACACTGCTAACCAGACCTTCAAACATAATCTTCCTCGCTGCCACTTTCCTTCCAAAGACTCTCTAACGATGTCATCCGCGTATGCTAACATATGCACCTTTCTATCTCCCACCACCAACCCTCCCATCTGCCCCTTCCCCAGTCTATACTCCAGGTCCGCCGTATACAGTGCAAACAGACTTGGGCTCAGCGGACATCCCTGCCTCAGTCCCTTCGTCGTCCAGAACACGTCACTCAACTTATCTCCCACTTTTATCCTAGCCATAGTCTCCATGTATATTTCCTTCACTCTCGCAATTAGGTGTTCCGTGATCCCCCTCCTCCCACAACTTCCCCCTATCCACCTTATCAAAAGCCGCCTTCAAATCTATAAACAGGGCGTATAATTTCCCTCCCTTCTTATCCAGCTCTCTATCTGCCAGATGCTTCAACACGTACACGTTGTCGATTGCTCCCCTTCCCTTCTGAAAGCCTGTCTGCCCATCCGGCAAAATTCCCCCCAACTCCATGTCCTCCTCCAGTCTTCCCAGCAGTATCTTCGTGTATACCTTGTATGCCGAGTCTAGTAGGTTAATTCCCCTGTAGCTCTCTACACTTCCATTATTACCCTCTTTATATACTGGGCAAATTACCCCCACTTTCCATCCCTCCGGAATCCCACCCCCCTCTCCATACGCTATTCATCCCCTCCAACAACTTCACTCTCACCACCCTTGATGCTTCCAACCATGCCTCGTTCTGGATCCCATCTTCACCTGGCGCCTTTCCCTTCTTCAATCCCCTAAGCACTGCTTCTATCTCCTCTTCTGCTATCTCCTCTCCCCCATTGGAGTAGTTGGTTCTAGTATATCTTGGATTAGAATTTATTATTATTAAGGTATTATCTTATAATTAGAATTTTTTAAAAGGATCTAAAAGATATTTTCGGTATACAGTTATTGGGTATGGTATCCATAATGAGTGGTTCTTGTATCCAGAAGTTTGATACAGCTTCCACAATGGTCAGAACCTGAATTTAATGATAAGTTCCATTTTTTCGTGAACAAATCCACTGTCTAGATGTTGATTTCAATATCTCTACGATCTCCATATACGATGGATTCCATGTTATGTATCAGATCGTATCCAGTTGTGATAATGGCTCTACAAACAACTAAAAAGAGGTGCCCTAGCCTGGTACACCGATGCTTCAAAGACAGTTGGATCTGGAGTAGGCATGGGCATCAGTGGACCAAATAGCCAAATTAAATTGCTCCTCACCTAGAATATAACCATTTTTCAAGCAGAAGTTCTTATAATAAACTTCTGCGCCACTTTGAACCTACAAAAGGTACAGAAAGGTGTATCATAAACATTTTCACAAACAGTCGGGCCGCCCTAAAGGCAATTCAGGCCTACACGTGTGACACCACACTGATCAGAGAATGTACCAACAACCTGAGAAAACTCCCTAGGGGCAATGATGTTACTCTATGGTGGGTTCCAGGTCACAGAAACATTGACGGTAATGAGAAGGTGAACAAGCTGGCCAGAGAGGCAGCGGAAACGCCCTTCATTAGACCCCAACCCGGTTGTGGACTGCAAAAAAGTCACTTAGAACAAATAATCAACAGTTAGGAGGCCTCAAAGGTAGCCTTACGCTAGAAAGAACTTCTACGTCACAGATAAGCGTAGAGTATGATAACTCCGTCGCAAAAAAAACCAAAGAGGTTTTATGCCTCAGCAAAGGGGATCTAAGGATACTTTTAGATTTCCTGACCGGCCATGCGCCACTAAAATACCACCTCTTCTACATTGGACAAGCTGAGAATCAAACTTGTCGACTTTGCAACAACGAGTCAGCAACAGCTGAACATATACTGTGTAGAGTATAGTTTTCGTAGTAACCGTTATTCTAGTATCCAGAAATCTACTGAATACTGGAACTACTTGGATACTGCTTGCAAACTATTGATAATAATAACAATGAAATAATAATGATGATAATGACATGAATCTAGTGGTTAGTTCTATTATCTCGCAAATAAATCCAGTATTCAGAACCAGTGAATGATTTCAGTACTCAATTCTTCGGTGCATTATCTGCGACAATGGGTTCCATTATCTA